GATAGATTTTGTTCAGTTTTTCTCTTTGTGTTTTCATTTTCTTGTTGTTCGATGAATTCGTCGACAGAAATGTCAAGGTCTGCAAAACGGGAAGCCATTTATAATATTTCGAAGCGATTGACTGAGCGAAGCGTTGGCCGGTAATTGGCGGGAAAATTCGATACTTTTTTTTCACATGCGAGAAAAATCGTCCGCGATCTCTGATTGGTCGGACGATTTTTTTCACATGTGAGGAACATCGTCTCAATTACTCAATGCGTCGTAGATGAGTTTTATCTTGGCACTTGCCGAGTGTGAATATTACGGTATGTATATAATAATGTTATATATCATCTTTGCCGCTCTTACGTGATGGTTCTCTAAATCATCCATTAACGAAGGTGAACATGTTCCCCAAACTACTATGCCGTATGTCACGTTTGGTATGATTGCTTTGTGATAAATTTCCTCCAGTAGTTATCTCGGTAGGTACTTCATTCTTTTTAATAGACCTTTATAAAAAGGTTGACGCCAGCAGGCTTCAGACGCAGTTTGCGGAGAAAATCCCGAAAGCTCAGAGTTGTTTACTTGTTTTGAGTTTTTTTAAAGCGAAAAGAAGCCAGTATATATTATGGTAAGTTTGAAGTATTTTTTTCTATATATAGGCCAAATGAGTTTTCATATTCGTTAGAGTTTAAATTTTATTTGTTTTTATATTAGATTGTACATTTATTTTACTGTCAACATTTAGCAAATTGTTCGCTCGGTTTGTTTACATATTTCGTTGCTAAAAAGTATATTTTTTCTTTTTTGTTTCTCAAATTCATCAGTCTAGTCATCAGAATTGCCCAACCTGGCAAAACCTTGATGGAAAATTAAAGCTAGATTGTTGATCCAGACACGGAAAGTGTTACACACGATTGATAAAAGCTACTTGTCATGTATGTTCACTTCAACTATTTATCGATAAAATAATAGACTTAGTCTTAGTTTATATGTCTAAGTTCACTTATGACTTATGTACCTCATTGCACGATCACTGAGCAGTCTGATTCTGATGATTAGACTGATGAATTCGAGAAACAAAAAAGAAAAATTCTACTTTTTAGCAAAGAAATATGTAAACAAACCGAGCGAACAATTTGCTAAATGTTGACAGTAAAATAAATGTAAAAACAAATAAAATTTAAACTCTAACGAATATGAAAACTCATTTGGCCTATATATAGAAAAATTTACTTTAAACTTACCATAATACTGGCCTCTTTTCGCTTTTAAAAAACTCAAAACAAGTAAACAACTCTGAGCTTTCGGGATTTTCTCCGCAAACAACGTCACAATCCTGCTGACGTCAACCTTTTTATAAAGGTCTATTTGGGATAGTTTTGCGCTGAATGATTTTATTACCTTTCTATTATAAATTGTTACCGCCAGTTACTGTGTTGTTGTTACAAGTTTTATCTGTTCATCTCCAAAGCATATCGGTTTTACTGGACCATAAAAGGGCTGTTGTGACAGTATCATTGCTTCTGTTTTGCCTATATGTGCAGTTATCTTATTTTCCCTACACCATTCGTATATTTTCCCGGTCATTTGATTTAATTTATCTGTCGCTACATCAATATTATCTCCAATGTCATATCCAGTAGTATCGTCGGCAAACATATACACCCATCCTTCACTTACATTATCAGGAAGATCATCAACGTATATCTTGAATAGTCGCGGTCCTAATAGAGATCCTTGTGGTACCCCATATTTTACAGTTTGTGAGCTTGAGTAAACATCATTTACATCTGTGAATTGTTGCCTATCAGTAGGGGTGGACCGGATTTGGAATTTTCAAATCCGGCCGGAACCGGATTTGGACAAAAATTCCGGCCGGATTTGAGATAAACCGGTAATGGGGACAATTGGGGATAAATTGGGATAATTCAGTATTCAAAATGGCGGTTTATGTTTTTTACTATTTTTAATTAGTGTCAGTTTAGATTTTTGATTGTGTTTAAACCTTTTTTAAATATCTTTTTGTTAATAACTTAATATTTTATAATAATACAAGTGTTTCTTAAACTTTAAAGCTGCCAAATTGATGGTTTATCCCATTCTTGGTGAATTGTTTAAGGTGAAAACAGAAATTTAAATCCGGCCGGATTTTCTCCAAATCCGGCCTGATGCCGGAAAATTCGTTAGATCCAGCCGGATTTGAAATCCGGTGCACCCCTACCTATCAGTCAAGTAATCTTTTAACCA